ATATATATATATATATATTGGCTTTTCTTTATAAAATTGTTCTTATGAACAAAAAATGCCAGCAGCTTGCGCTGATTTATTGGCAATAATTTGATAGATATGACAGTTTCTGATTGGTTCAAGGTTGAAATATTTTATGGTATGCTTTTGCTCCCTTCCTAACGATTGAGCTAAAAAGCTCTTGTAACCCATATGAATGTGGGAACTCCAGGTTCAAATCTCTGTTTAGCCATGAGATTCATCAGGTAACTTTGGATAAGTTGAAAGACAGCAGGTAATCTGCCTGAAAGGCCGGTTAGGATAAAATGCAGGAAACTTGCAGCTCCTTGAAGGAATAATAACAACAACAATAGCAATACAAACATTTGGTGAATGTTGTTGTCTTAATAGGGATTACAGAGAAACATTTATTATGGAAGTCCCATAGCAAGGGGACAGAATGCTACATATTTAGTATAGAATTTAAAGGTTAGACCCTGGAGATCTCAGAGCAATTAGAAAAGATATAGTCAGGTCTGATTCAATATAAAACAGCTTCATTTATTTGTAATCTGTGTTCTCTGCATATTCTCCAGAGTCTGGCAGGAGAATCCTTTAGAAGTAGTACATTTCATTTGGACAGATATATGGTGGCTGTCAAACTGTTAAGGGGCATTTGTGTTTTATATTGAAAATTATTAACATTGAGAAGAATAGAATGAATCTTGAATACATTTAGGATTAGATTCAGGAATATTTCTATGAATGTTAATGTCAATGACTGAAATATATTGCTTAATCACAGCGGTGGGTTTTAATGGGTCTTGAGTATATTTTATTTGCCTGTGTTGTGCCTAGGCTGAATTTTAAATGTTTTCTACTTCTACAAGCATTTCTGTATTCATATAAAGCTCCATTACAATTTTAATTTAAAATAAAACTACTTTAGATAACAGTAAATAATTACACTGAGTATCAGAAGTCATAGAGGTGAACAGAAATACATAAAATATCAAATTGCCCAATATTAAGATACCTATTATCTTAATAAAAGATGTGTCTATTTTTTCTAATAATTGCCAATTAACTTTCCGCATTTTATCAAAACTGAAAGTAATGGTTATTTAAGGCAAAACTGACATTTTAAAAAAATCAGAAAAATCCTCTAGCACATAAAGGTAAGTCACCAAACATATGGTTATCATTCTTTACTGAGAATACATAATTATATTATATGCCTTTCTTCCACAGAGTTTTGCAGATGTAGCATACAATTAATGGTGTTTTTCAAAAAACTGTTATTTCCCCATTTAGCATTTTGATATTTGATTACTTTATAAAGGCAAATAGAAAAGCTAAAATGTATTTTTTTATACTGTGCTGGTCTAGTACAATCTGTTGCTTATTATTGAACTGTGGTGAAAACTAAAGGCCATTCTACTGACATTGAGAAGTATTATATCTGACAGCAAGCCATTCAGCCAGAGCCAGAAAATTTATCTGCCATTCCCCTTCCCTGATTTTCATGCATATGCCCCACAGTACATAATGTATTTTTCCCTTTGCTGACTGATAGTAATCCCCATTTGTCAACAATTCCATACAAACAGTATTATAATCTGAAAAATAGATGGGAAGATGCATTGCTTGTTTGTTTCTTTATTTGAATGCACAACTGCAGAATTGCTGTTATATATATCTTACTGCAGACTGAGATTACCTTTTCTTGAACAGAAACCATTTAATTTAGTGAGCCTTTATACACATACAGAGAGAGAGATGCATGCATGTATACCTTGGTGGGAACGATGGTAAGTTTTATAATGTGAAAACGATTCAAGTTATCTGATGTGCAATTCTTAATTTGCTAAAAAAAATCTCAAAAAAATTATGTACACAGACAGTTAAAGGCAGTTGAATCATCACTACTAAAATAAACAAGAAATAGATGATACTTAAATTATAGATACAAAAGGAATCAACTCAAATACTTTTCTATAGCTTTTAGGAGAAGTAGTAAATGTGGGTCATGTGTAAAGAGTGTTATTAAAGTACTATGATCCTTAATTGAAAATTAGTAAATAGTTTTACTGAGCAAATAGTATTTCTTCAGCAAGGTACAGAAAGCACAATTTCTGGAATTCTTTCCAATCTCTTAATTGCAGCTCTGCCTGAGTTCACACGACTAGGAGCAGGGATGGAGGCTTACAAGTGGAGCATTCAGTGGGACTCCAAGCCCTTCTCCAGCTGCCTCTCCCATGGGGATATATCAAGGGATTTCTTTCTACAGCCTCTGGTTAGACCCAGCTGACATTCAAACTTTTTTTTTAGCCAGCTTCTCCCAACACACTGAATTTGATACCACTGTGTTCACTTTCCAGAGACTTAACCAGCTGATGGACAGATTATTCAGAGGCAGAACTCCAAGCCCCCTGCCACATATAATTTATTTCAAACATTCTGTTTGGTTTGGAAATCATAAAAACAGAGAAAACTACATATATTACAAGATATCACTCCTGTTCCCTGCCTCCCCCCCTCCCCCCCCCAAAATTAAAAGTGCTTCACAGACAGTCTAAATGCTTGAAATTTCCTCTTGCAAATGTATTGGGAATATTGAGGCTCTAAGCTCAAGAATACTTTATATGCTTCAATACTGATCTGACTGAACTACATTTATATACTATATTAGCATTCATCAGTAAGATAAAAATAAAATAATACTATTTCGGTAATTTTGGATCTCCCTAGCAAGTAACAACTAGTTTCACAGTGTTCAAGTAATTTCTTTTTCTTTATCAAAATGGATATGGATGGATGGATGGATGGATGGATGGATGGATGGATGGATGGATGGATGGATG